TGCAGGTGTAGAAAACCTCAAGTGCCCGGGGAAGCCCGGTTACTGCCCAGGGTAGCAGGACTTGCCACTCAGATGTGCCAGGGTCCAGCAGGTGAAGCAGCAGGTGGGACAGGTGGGGCACTTGGGGCTGTGGGTTTCTGTGGTGAACTGGGGAGCAGAGCGCACGCCTGTCTGAAGGGCCTACTGCCACTCAGCTTTGGCCCATGGGAGCCATGGGGGAATATGGGCCCAGCGTTGCCAACTTTCATGTTTGTGTGTGCAGTTTCTTTGATTTAAAAACATTTTAGCTTTACAGATAGTAAAATTCACGTATGTGGGGGGAGGGGTGTATGATTCCACGAGCTGTTGTTTTTTTAATTTAAGATTTTTTTAATTGACTTTCAGAGAGATGGGAAGGGAGAAGGAGAGAGAGAGGATGTGAATCACCTGCCTCCTGCAGGGCCCCCACCGGGGATCGAGTCCAAAACCCTGACTGGGAATCTAACCGGCAACCTTTCGGTGCACAGGATGAAGCCCAACCAATGAGCCACACCAGCCAGGGCTCCATTAATTTTAACATTTGCTTAGATTCCGTTAACCACCACCACCACCATCAGGGTATAGAACAGTTCACCCCCAGATCCCTCATGCTTCCCCTTTGTGTTCAAACTCTCCCCCTGTCCTTACCCTTGGCAGCCACTGATCTGTCCCCTGTCCTTACAGTTTGCTTTGGCACATCGTTTGTGACATTTGAGACTGGCCCCCTTCACTCGGCATAATGCTTTTGAGATTCATTCATCTTGTTGCATATCAGTAGCTTGTTCCTTTGTATCGCAGGGCAGTTTGCTTATCTATTCACCTGTCGGGGACATTTGGGATCATGTACAAAGCTGTTACAGACATTTGTGAACAGCATTTCTGCGCGGACGTAAATTTTCATTTCTCCAGGGTAAGGGAATTCTACCCCGAGTTTGCTGGAGTTTTTATCATGAGTTGGTGTTGAATTTTGTCCATTGCTTTGTCTGCATCTGTTGAGAGGATCATGTGGTTTTTATTTAGTCATCTTTAGGTCACGGCAATTGATTTTCAAACATTGAGCCGGTCTTGGTGGGTAAATCCCACTTGGTCTTGGCCATGTTGTGTTTTTCATATATATAATCTATATTTATTCTAATATTTTCTTGAGGATCGTTGTGTGTGCTTATGAGGGATCTTGGTCTGTAGTTTTCTTACACCGCTTTTGTCTGGGTTCAGTATCAGGGTGATACTACATTAAATGAGTTGAGAAGTGTTCTCCCTCCCCCCTAATTCTGTTTTCTGGAAGGGATTGTATAGAATTTATATATATCTTTCTTAAATGTTTGGTGAAACTATTTGGGCCTGAATTTTCCTGTTTTGGAAAGATTTAAACTGTGAACTTGATTTCTTTAATAGCTAGGGCACAGTACAGATTACCTCTTTCTTCTTGCGTGAACTTGAGTGGGTTTTCTTATTGAATTTACTGGAGTGACATTGGTTAATAAAATTATATAGGTTTCAGGGATACAATCCTATAGTATATCACGTGTACATTGTATTGTGTGTTCACCACCCCAAGTCAAGTGTCCTTCCATCTCCATTAATCCCCCCCTGACCCTCTTCTACTTCCCCCCACCCCCCTTCCCTCTGGTAATTGTCATTCTGTTGCCTGTGTCTACAGGTTTGTGGGGTTTTTTGTTTAAATCCTTACCTGAGGATATTTTTTCCATTGCTTTACAGAGAGAGTGGAAGCGATGGAGAGAGAGAGAAACATCAATGTGAGAGACACACTGATTGGTTGCCTCCTACACGCCCCGGCCCGACCAGGCCAGGGATCGGCCTGCGACCGAGGTGCGACGTGCCCTTTGCCGGAATTGAACCCTGGACCCTTCAGTCCACGGACTGATGCTCTAACCACTGAGCAAAACCAGCTAGGGCTACAAGTTTGTGTTTTTATTTTTGCTTAATCCCTTCACCTTTTTCACCCAGCCTCACAAACCCCCTCCCCTCTAACAGCTCAGTCTGTTTCTGTATCTATGAGTCTGTTTCCGTTTTGTTTGTTAGTTTATTTTGTTCACTATATTCCACATATAAGTGAGATCATATGGTATTTGTCTTTCTGTAACCGGCTTATTTCACTTAGCGTCATACTCTCCAGGCTCACCCATGCTGTTGCAAAAGATAAGATTTCCTTCTTTCTTATGGCCGGGTAGTAGCCCATGGTGTAAATGCACCACAGCTATTTTACCCACTCATCTCCTGCTGGGCACTTGGGCTGTTCCCAGATCTTGGTTATTGTAAATAACACTGCAATGAACACAGGGGAGCATATATTCTTCAGAATCAGTGTTTCGGGTTTCTTCAGATATATTCCCAGAAGTGGAATTGCTGGGTCGTAAGGTAGCTCTGTTTTTAATTTTTTGACATAACTCCACACTGCTTTCCACAGTGGCCGCACCAGTCTGCATTCCCACCAACAGTGCTCAGGGTTCCCTTCTCCCCACATCCTCGCAAACACTCGGTTGTTGATTCATTGATGACAGCCATTCTTACAGGTATGAGATGATATCTCATTGGGGTTTTAGTTTGCATTTCTCTGATGATTAGTGACATTGAGCATTTGAATTTTGGTGGTTTGTGTCTTTCAAAGAATTGATCCATTTCATCTGAGTTGTAGAAATTATGATCACAAAGGTGTTTATAGTGTTCCTTTATGAACCCTGAATAACTGAGCCTTTCTGAACCTTAGTTTCCTCACCTGTACAATGGGAATGAAAATAGTATCTACTTCTGAGGTGGCTGTGACGATTCAATGAATTCATAAGCATAGAGTGCTTAGGATGGCCCGGCACAAAGGAAGAGGTACCGAGCTCTCGAGTGATTAGTAATATGACGCTAACATTTATCAGGCACTTCACCTACAGGCGGAGCCAGCTTATCTCCCTTGTTCAGATGAGGCTGCTGAGACCTCAGAGAGGCAAATGGCCTGCTTGAGTCCATCTGGCTTGCAGATCTCAAAATTAGGGAGGCGTGGGCGGCTGGCACAGGCTCGGGGAGGATCTGGCTGGCGATCAGGAGAGCGCAGCCGCAATGACGTGAGGGACATTGGCTGGCCTGAGCTGGGAGAGAGGTGACCCGGGGGAATAAGCGGGGAAGGACTGAGCCTGAGGAGACAGGCAACAGAAATAGAAGGGGAAGCCTGGTAATTGAGTGGCCCAGAAAAGGAAAGATCAATATTTTACTGAGGGTGGAACAACCAGGTTCCCTGGCAGCCAGCCGCCGGCCCAGCTGTGTGCGCCTCGGCGACAGCAGCTGCTCGCAGTCCCCTGAGGCCCAGGGAATCACCGCTCCTGGCCTGGGAGCCAAGCGCAGCCGAGCGTGGTGCCGGGGCTGCCAGGGAGGCCCCAGCCCTGTGGCCCCTTCACCACGGAGACCACGTGCTGCTGGGTATTTGCTGAACTCGCTGTGTGACCTTGAGCAAGCCCTCCGCTCCCTGCTCCCTGGGACTTAGCCTCCCTGTCTATAAAATGAAGGGCTGGGTCAGCTGAACGGTGCATGGGCAAGAGGTTATCTAGTCCAGGAAGGCTGAGGTTCTTGGTGACCAGGGTGAGGGGTTTTAGCCGTAGAAGTAAAGCTCCGTCAATACACAGGTGACAGGGAATTGAAAGGACACTGGGGTGCATGATTGGATAATAGCGGGATGGGCCTAACTAGGTGGAAGTGGGGGAGAAACATTTAATAGAGGTACAAATGGAGACCTGAAGGATGAATAGATGTCAGATGATGAATGGGGAGGATAAGCACTGAATTATAGAGAACAACATGTGCAAAGGCCCTGAGGCAGAAAAGAGCTTGGTTTGCTTGGGAAGTTGACCGATGGCCAGTGTGGCTGGAATGCCATGAGTGACAGAAAGAGTGGGAGGAGAGAGGGCTGAAGAGGCCAGGTTAGATAGGGCCTTGCAGGCCATGTGACAGAGTTGGATATTATCCTAAGTGTATTGGACAGTTGCTCGATTTTCAGCAGAGGAGTAGATAACACGATCAATTGGAGTGGAGAATGAGTTGGAGGGGGCTGGAAGTGTAAGAGGGTAGATGAATTAGGGGATCCGCATAGTCAGGGAGGGAGAGGGTGGTGGCTGTGACCAGGTGGGATCCCAGGGCGATGTGGAAAGGAGGGTAGCTTTGGGACATGGCATTGGGTGTGGATTGGATGCGGGGGCAGGGAGCAGTCCCCATGATGCTGACATGATTATTTCTCCCTGTAGAGTAGGCAAAGAGGAATTTGACCAAGGGTTTCTCAGAACTACAAATTATTATTATTATTATTATTTTATTTTTATTTTTTTAAATATATGTTTATTGATTTCAGAGAGAGGAAAGGAGAGGGAGAGAGAGATAGAAACATCAATGATGAGAGAGTCATTGATCAGCTGCAGCCCGCAACCCGGGCATGTGCCCTGGCCAAGAATCGAACCCTGACCGCCTGGATCCTAGGTCGACGCTCAACCGCTGAGCCACGCCCGGCTAGGCACTACAAATTATTTTTAAAAGTGGTTAAACTATGTGTTAAAAGTGGGAAATGGCAGGGTTTTATCTTCTTTTCTAGAGTTTCTGCAGTGAGTTTATATTGTTTTTGTATGAAAAAACCATGAAGTTAGAAAATCCGAGCATTTGCTTTCCATGTGCCCGTCTTCATAGGAGGGACTTGGAGACAAAAGCTCCTCAGACAAACCGCGTTCTGAGCCCTGCTGCGCTGGTGCTGCTTGCGCCGCCTGTCAACCTCGGGACACTAGAACGGCCCCACTGAGGGCCAATGCCTGGGGCTGGGGCTGACCCCAGGTTGCGGGTAGAGGGCTAGGAGGGGCCTCAGGCAGCCCCTGGGTCAGTTGACCAGCCCTCCATCCCAGCCTCCTGGCCAGCCTGCCAGCCTCACCCCAGGTCCATGAACCCTCCGGGGAGTCTCTGGGGGCCTCACACTTCCACTTCTTTCTTCTAACAGGTGGAAAAACTTGTGAAATATTTGGATCCCAACGACCTGGGGAGAATCAACTTCAAGGACTTTTGCCGGGGGGTGTTCGCCATGAAAGGTGAGGTCTTCTGGAGGAGAGGGTCCCACCCAGCTGGGGACATGACTCGGGTTTCAGCTCAGATTCCTCCCTATGGGGGTCCTAGGAGCCCAGGATGGTTCCAGAAGTGGGTTCTTCCCCCGGCTCAAAATTCCTGTGGAGTTTCCCAGGACATGGGACTTTTAGTTTTAAAACCAGGGCAGAGCTGGGCACCTATCTCCCTCTGTCCGTCCTAACTTTCCTTCATTTGTTTCCTACTCTTTCTCTTTTTCTAAACTCCCTCATTTCTTCTTTCCTCCCTGCCCCTCCCCTTTAATGGGGCAACATAAAATCCCTCTCTTTTTCCCCCAATTCAAAGGCCAGTTGTGAGAGACCCCAGAAAGATGGTCTCAGAATGTGACAACTCTTAAACCTGTTACTACTGCCTAGAGAAAGTAAGCCTAAGTCGCCAGCAGGTGGACTTGCCAAGGCTCTGAAAAGAATGCAGTTTACTTCTAGAAGTCCTGAGGCCTCCCTGGTATCCACATTTCCCTGTCTGTGTGCATCATGTCAGGGTGAATCCTTATCTGTGAGGTAACCCCGAGTTCTGGGAGGGTGGGAAGCATGAATTACCGCCATGGAGGTGAGGAGCAAAAGGAAGTGAGCCAAGATGTTGAGGGGACTGCACATAGCAGGGCCCCAGTAAAGGATTCTGAATGGAGTTGTTTGACCCTGTGGGTCCATCACTACCTGCCCCTGTCATGTGCCCATGCCAGGCACTTTGCAGGTTTGACCTCTTTTGTCCGATATGATTTGGGGACACTTGCTCAGGGACCAAGGAGGGCTGCCACCTGTCTAACTGAGTCAGCAGGAGGTAGAGCCATCCTGAGGGTGGCCCTCTCCTAGACATCTGGAGATTGCAGGGCTGCAGAGGGCCTCAGGCTCAGGGTAATTGTGCGTTTGGAGTCCCTGCTAGCCAGGCAGGGAGTGTTGCCTTACAACCCTTCCTCCAGGAAGGCCTCCTTGATTCCCATTGCCTCCAGCTTGCCCTTTGCATTTGGGAGTCTCCTCTCTGTGTGCTCCCTGTTGGCGTTAGTCCCAGAGGAAACACAGCTGGAGGGTAAGGACCTGTCTCAGCTCCCTCCGCAGAGCCCTGGTGTTGTCTCCACAGCCTGGGTGTTCCACCTCTGTATCTGAATGATCAGCTGGTCTCCTGGAAACTCGGGCTGTCTGCCTTCCCACGGTCCTTCCTGCCCAAGGCCTGTTCATAAGAAGCAAAGCTGCCATGCCAGGCTGAGGCGCTGACCCTCTGCTGTCTCTCTGTCTGTATGCAGGCTGTGAGGAGCTGCTGAAGGACGTGCTGTCCATGGAGAGTGTAGGGACCCTGCCCTGCGCCCCGGAGATCCCAGACTGTGTGGAGCAGGTAAGAGCTGGGCAGCCTCAGCCCTGCCTCACTCAGGGGGAGTGGTGGCACCTCTGCAGCCCACTTTGCCCTTCTTGGTCTTCTTGCCTTGGCTTCACCCTTTTAATGTCTGGGTGGCTCAGAGCCTCCTTTGAGGACCCTTTGGCTTCAAAGTCAAGAAATCGTTTTTGGAACCAGAGCAGTGAAGCCCCTTGGGAAGCCATGGCAGGGAAGGTAGGGGCTGAGGATCCTCACGAAGCACCTTTACTGTCCCTCTGTGGTGCCAAGGAAGCTTTGGCTAGAAATGAATGATAAAGACTTTTTCCAGGGTCTTTAGGGATTGCAAACTGGAAATACTACCAGGCAATACCCAGAAGTGTTCTAGAGAACAAGAAAAGCTGAGCGTTTATACAGTAAAACTGCATTCTTGAAAAGAATTAGTCCTGCATTCTTGCCTCAGGCTTGGTCCGAGATGTAATCCTCTGGGCGACTGTTGGTCCAGATAAGGGGTGTCAGAAGGTCTGGATACAGGAACGTTCTTTCCTTAGTCCTTCGGGGGTAATCAGAGGGTTATCTGGAAGGTTGATGTATATACAGGCATTGATGCAGGACTGGAAAGTTCAAAAGTTTAAGTTCCAGGCTAATTCAAGCAAGAACAGAGTCATTTCCTCGTTTCTCAATCTACTCCATTTTCGTAATTTAGCAGCTTGACTATAGTGATTTCATTTTATGTCTTCACTCTTTTCCTCATTATTATTATCAGTTTATTATAAAGGACAAAACTGAGTAACAGCCAGTGGGAGATTTGCATAGGGCCAGGTATAGGGTGGGCGTGGGGGTTAGTACCGATTCGTGCCTGCTCTAGGGGCACCACCTTCCCGGCACAGCCACGTGCTCCCCAGCCTGGAAGCTCTCCGAATCTTGAATTTTGTTGCACAAGAGCTTTTATAACCTAATCTACAGCGAAAGGGTTGGCCTGTTTTTAAAGCAATATTGTTTTTCCAGAATGCAAAATCTGGAGGTTATAGTCAAATTTCAGCCACCCCAGTACTCTCCTCATTTCCTCTCTCTCAGGACTTTGCAGCATATAGGTTTTCATTTCTTTGGGTATAAGCCCAAGCCCCTCCTGGGTGAACTCTTTTCTACCCTCCTGTGGGTCTGGCCCTTACAGGTGGCTGGAGCCCAGCAAGATGGCAAGTGATCGCCGCGCACAGTAGGCAGGCTTGTTCGTGAGCACCCAGTCAGGCAGCCTGGCTGACCTGGGTTCGGTTCCTCACTGTAGGCTCCTGTGTGCTGGCCGGGGATTTGGTGGGGGGAGGCTGTTCAAAGGCCAGCCTGCTGCACCAGCAGGTGCCTGTGGTGATGGATCCTGAAGGCCGAGAGGCCCCAGGCCCCATGATGTGAATGGATCCCCTCCTGCCTTAGGCTCCTAAAAGGTTTGGCTCTGGGTTCTATTTGGCTAACGGCCAGGAGGGGCGAGACCACAGCTCCTCCTGTCTGTGGGGAGCGGAGGGGGCCAGCCTGGGACAGGCCCTAATCCCATAGGCCAAGTCCTCAGCGCCTTGCTGTGTCCCAGCTGTCCCCTAGGGGTCAGCTTAAGACTGATGACAGCCCGGATCACTACTTTGGCTTCCCAGACACCACTAGGGGACAAAAGTATGAGGAGTGGTTTGGGGACCATGCAGGGATGACACATGATGGAACAGCAGCAGCACACCCCCTGCCTGCCCTGCCTGCCCTGCCCTTAGGATGGGGCAGGGGATCACCACTGGATGAGGGTCATAGTTAAAACAGGAAAATGCACTTCACACCCAGCACAGTGGCTGGCGGTGAGATGTTGCCAGTACTTAAGAGTGTCCCCCAAAAATGTATATATACACTTTAACAGCTGATAGCTCAATTTTGAAAATGAACTGTATTTTAATAAATACTGCCTTTATGATTATTCAGAGTAGGTGAATACATTTCTTAAGGACACCCTATATTTGTTGCACAAGCAGATGGATGAATCTCACATGTGGAAGACCAACTCTGCCAGGGAGGGATGGGCAGGTTTTCTCCTACCTGGGAGCAGTTGGGGGACCCCCGCAAAGGATATAAAAATTACACTCTGGCCCAGCTGGCATGGCTCAGCAGTTGAGCATCAACCTATGATCCAGGAGATCGGGGTTTGATTCCTGGTCAGGGATATGTGCGAGTTTGGGGCTCAATCCCCAGTGCAGGGCTTGCAGGAGGCAGCCGATCAATGACTCTCTCATCGTTGATGTTTCTATCTCTCTCTCTCCCTCTCCCTTCCTCTCTCTGAAATCAATAAAGACATATTTTTAAAAAATAAAATAACAAAAATTACACTCTCCTTCAGTGAGTCCAGGGGCTTAGAAAGGAGCTGGAAGAGAGGTGACCGGTGGCTCTGACTCTACACTTTAGTGCATGTCTGAATCCCTCAGGGGCTTCCCCAAATGCAACCCCTGACTCAGTAGGTCTAGGGTCAGCCTCCGTCTGCATCTCCTGCAGGATCCTAGGTGGTGACCCTGCTGGTCAGGGACCACACAGCAGAGCCATCAGTGACTGTGGGTCCTGCCCCAGCCCTTCCAATAAATGCCACAGGAAGATGTGGAGAGAGCTTGAGGGTCCTTTTGTGGCCTCCTTCCCCCTCCTCCCACCCTCACCAGCAGGTGTTGTTTCTAGCAGTGACTGTCACCTCCCCATGTGTGAAGCCTGCTAGGTCTCTGTCTCCACATTTCTACTACGGTGACAGACAGCAGAATCTCTGCCAGGAGCTGTGTTCAGCTGCCTGCTTCTATCTCTGCTATTTTCCCTCCACGTGCCTTTCAGCCTTTGGTTGAGGCAGACACTTGGGGATGTTGTGCCTTTGACGTCAGGCCCGGCTGCCCCCTTTCCCCCAATGCATGAGGGAACAGCTGACCCTGCTGAGAACTGACGTTGCCATCCAAACCTGGAGGCTGAGGGCTTTCCAAGCTTTGGTTTAGGGAGTAGGCTGACATACAGGCATGCCTGACCAGCCCTAGAGGCAAAGGGTTAATTTAAACATGGGGAGAGCATGAGCTTTGGGGTGAGAGGGTCCTGGATTTGAATCCTGGCCCTGTCACTTACTAGTGTGGCCACCTTTTGCAAATTACTTAACCTCCCTGAGCCTCACTTTCTTTAAATGGAGGCTATAACTGGTGTCCTCCTCTCAAGGTTATTGTAAGAATTAGAAATGAGAAGGCCTGGAAAGCACTCAGTACAGTGCCTAGAAAACGCTGGAATCTCTCAGATCACAATGCATAGGTTGTGAGACTTAGCACATAGATTGAATGCATACCTTTTGCCCCGGAGTTGCTGACAAGGTGCTGTGGCCCAGGCCTCCTGCCACACCCGCATAACCCACCTGCTGCTCCTGCACAGCTGGGAGATTCAGCCCCTGGGGCATTCCCAGAATTGGGCCCACCCCGATGGCCGGCCATTCTCCAGGGGAGGGAGGGCTGAGGACGTGGAGTACCTGTTGAGCCTCAGGGGCAATGCTCAAATGTCTTATTAGAGATAAACAGCTGTTCCCACCCCATCGTGGCTGCATTCCTGACCATTCCTGGGAGTAACGTGCGAAACAGCACGGCTCTGATTATTGAGCTGGAACTCTCTGTTGGGGACGCAGGCCAGTTGTCCCTTCCCCCCAAGCCTCTGATGATGAGCATGGCCCGCGTGGGCAGGAAGAGCAATGGTGCCTCGGCTCCCCAGCTTTGTACGCGCTCGCTGTGTCTAGCTGGACAGAGAGGGGACGCTGTTGAGNCCAAACCTCTGATGATGAGCATGGCCCGCGTGGGCAGGAAGAGCAATGGTGCCTCGGCTCCCCAGCTTTGTACACGCTCGCTGTGTCTAGCTGGACAGAGAAGGGACGCTGTTGAACAGCCACCTTTACTGCCCCCAGCCTGGCCTTCTTGTGCCGTGTGACTTGGAGCATTCTTGCTGTCCCCAAGGGAATTTTCAATCCAGGCTAAAAGGACCCCTGAGACTTTTCGGAGGCCAGCCCCCAAGTGGAGGCGTATCAGGGGGACCTCCGTGTGCTGATGCTGGAGGCAGCCACACCTCGGTCCCGGACGGACAGGCAGAAACTCAGATGGATGGTGATCTGGAGAAAGTCGTCCCAGGGACATAGATGGTGATAGGGGAGAAAGTTGTCCTGGGGACAGGCTAACCGCACTCGTTTAGATTTTCCATCCCTGATACCAAGTTCCATGTCACAAAGCAGTGTTTTCTTTTACCTTCTTGCAAAACCTTCTCCACGGAGGCCCATTTTGTCTTTATTTCCCTGCCTCAGGGTAAGGCAGCACTAAGCAGAATAGTTCAGCTTCCTTCAAATTGCTGCTGGAAATCTTATCCGATTTGCCGTCTTCTTGTACATTTTGGTCAGATACATTCTTTTGGGGATTTTTGCATCATAAAAAAGGTCCTTCCTGGTGAGATGATGTCCTTTCTCATCAGATAAGAACTGTAGCATAACCACTCCTTGCTTCATCTTTGTCTTGGTCATTAGAAAACTTAGTGCCAAAGGCAAATCGACAGATTTCAATTTAGTTATCTACCTCCTTTATCTGAATGGTTTATTTTCATTTTAATAGTTCAACTGTGAATGTCTTATTGTAAATAATTTCACAGATGTCAACAACAACAGAACCGAGTTTGGATCATAAGGAGATGCTGTCCCAAGGTGGGGAAGGAGCCCTCGCCGGTTTGGCTCAGGGTTGAGCGGCTGACTGTGGCNGCTCAGGGTTAGAGCGGCTGACTATGGACTGAAGGGTCCCAGGGTTCTGAAGGGTCCCGGGGTTCTGAAGGGCCCCTGGGTTCTGAAGGGTCCCAGGGTTCGATTCCAAGGCAGGGACCACTGCAGGAGGGAGAGAGCTCTGCTGGCCTGGGAAGATCTTGAAGCTTCTCGGGTTAGGCTAACGGGCTTTTCTTTGCAGGGAAGAACAAACGAGGCTGGGAAGAGCTGTGTGGGGAAGTGGGATGACCTGGTGGCTTGG